GAAAAATTAAGTGACGTGTACTCGTTATAATTGGCGCAACGGGTAAAGTTTAATTATACGAATTTCATGTACACATGGCAAGACCTACCTATCGACTACYAACCGTGATCTAAGTCATAATACAATATGGCATTGATTTTAATACTTGTACGTTTTGTTTTTCAAACAACATCAGAACGGACGATTAATATAATAATTTAAGTATTGATTATTTRCGATCGTATAGTAAACTTACTTWTATTTTAATTGCCCTTTAGTATAGTACGATACTATATACGATATTTCATATTATTATAAATTTCTGATCACTACGTTGGCCGTTGGGCTGTGGAAGAAAATATAAACAACTAATTCTAGAACTTATACTCGTATTGTTTATGGGTTGTGTAAACATTTTATATGGAATATTTAATTTACATCTTTTGCTTTTTAGCAAATTTAACAGAACCAAAAATGTTTTATTTGATTTCCATTTTTACTGTAAAACTATTTAATATTTTCCACGTGCTTATTCAGAAATCACTTATGGTGTATTTAGAAACATATAAAGATTTTCCAAATATATATAATTTTGTACCTACTAGGTATACTCATCATCTACCTATATACGTGCCGTATTTTGTTGAGCCCGATGTCGGAAATTCTTGAAAATATTTGGTAATTTGTATAATATATTCATTATTATAACGAATATTAAAAAAGTAGATAAATTGAATGCATTTATTTTTATTTTAACTCTTTAAAATCCTGATAAATATAYCAATAAGTATGTAAATAATTTAATGAATATATTTTTCAACAAATATCATAATACTAAACTTTTCGAAAATAATCGCAAATAAATGAAATGAAAATGCTATTGAAATAAATATATTTTATTTTGAAAATAAAGTTTGATTGTTTTATTATTTTTTGTTTCCTTAAATATTATGAGATGGTTTTATCAATTCTTTTTCTTTTTCGATGCCCAATAAGGTCATAAATACAGAATGCTGCAGTCTGGCAATAGACGTTCGAGTGGGTGTGTGCGTAAGTGAGAGTCTTTTAACTTTTAACCCTGAACCCGTTTTGTTTTCAGTTTTATAAAGTAAATTAATATCATTKCTCATGAAAGTTATCAAATTGTATATTTATATATAATATATATATGAACATTATGAACTATGAAATAMTGATATTATAAAATTTAGACAATAAGTCTTTCGTCTATATTTCTGTATTTATTCTGATCAAGTTAAACAACATTTCTGTATATAATGAGATGTAATTAATTACAATTTATTATGTACATTGTATAGCTATATAAATAACAGTGAACGGTTGTTGAAGAGTTTAAAATAATTGTAAGACTGTACAAGATTATTTGGAGTATTTTTAAATGACTGATGATCGATGGTGTAATTCTAGTAAAACTATATATTATATAAAATCTATCACGATTTMAACAATTATAAATCCAGTATATTTTAATAATCTATTATGTTGAAATACATAACATACATTATTATGTTTATATATTATATTTTAACTGAAAATGTCTACGAATTTTGATGAATAATGAACACCAGGTAGGTACATCAGCATTTGTATGACGCAGCACCAATCGTTAACCGTTTTCACAACAATAGTATCTGAAATTACCGTTATTAATCATTCCGTTTCACTAAATATTTATACGAATACAATTTATTACCAAGTCTTCAATCGAATGTCCATTAAATCTTAAGGTAAGATAAATGTAAGCTGTATAATATACCTAATTGAACCACTCATCGCTGGTATATATAAAATATTCAAAGASGTGTTGGTTAATATTTTTAAACAGGMAAAATAATGTAATTGTYATTATACTTGCTTAATACTATKCAATATAAATATTACAGTTTCCGTAGCCAAAATTAAATAATTTTTATAAATTTTCGATCAAGTTATATTTTAGGAGGATTTGGTGAAAATATCTATCCTAAATACGTATACCTATAATTGTATTGATTTTACGATAATGTATCTTTATTATTTTTCGGTTAGTCATCATATTTTGGAGTTTCAAATCTCAACTTTGATGGGGGTTCTCGTAGAAAATTGGGTTTTGTTGGTAAGTTATACTAAAAAATCTAGTGTTTTTAATCGTAATTAAAGACATGAAGATGTTTAAAAAAAAAAACCAAATTTTTAGACATTAATTATTTAAATATTTACACAACAACAAACTTTGGAAAATTGATTTTATTATTTACTTGTGGTTCAAAAAATCAAAAATAAATAATAGTATAAACGTAGATATGCAGCATTTTCATGAAATATTTACAACACAATTTTATAGACATTTTATCATTTTGATATTTTGTTGGTAACTTATTTTATGCTAGGCTAAAAACATAAAAAATTTATGAAAAATTCGTAATAAGTTTTACTTGGGTTCCTATAGCTATTTAAAAATATTGATTTTTTTTTAATGTACGAGTACCTTTTAATTTTTTAAATCCACTTATTATTTAAGAAAAAAACCAATCATATATTTTTGTTATTTTCGTGCATTGTTACWCGTACAACTTATAACTATATAACTAAATAATATTAATCCATATAAATCTAAAATATTATATAAACATAATGTAATGTAGGTATTATATGGGTAGTTACATAATTTATCGAATTACTGTTTGCCAATTTTAGTTTTATTTTTTTGAAGGACTTAGCTTAAATGCTAATATATGGTTTTAAATGTCTATTTCGGGCTAAGCTGACTTAGATCTCCCATCCAAGCTACTTCACTGCTTTTGTAGGTAGTTAATATTTCATGCAATAGCGGGTTGATGCATTCTATTATAGTTTCTAATGTAAACAGATGATTTATGTATGTACATTATCTACATACATTTACCAGGGTAAGTAATCTAATCATCGAAAAATTATATTGGTGAGACACCTGATATTGCGAATTGTACATTTATACTCAACGTTTATAACATTATCGACAATAAGTCCTGATTTAGTTCTTGCTTATTAAAAGGTCATACTGTTCAATAATGAATACCTTTTATAACAAAGGTGCCTTTTCACTAACGACTTTATCTTCAAATAATTATTCACAACCAAAGATCCAATAGCTTGACTTCTATAACTTTGAATTGATACACAAATTTAATATTTTAAACAGTCGCAATTTTAAAATATAGAAAATATTAATTAAGAATAAAGTATTRSCTATATTTTATACCCACCATAACATAGGCTATATTCTATTATTTTTTTCCGGTATACAACTTATATTCTAAAAACCTAATGGACGGGAGGCTAAACAATATTCTTGTGGATCTATAGCACTTTCAGGCCTTTTATTCTACGCCTATGCACCACAAYGTGTTCTTATTACAAAAAAATAAAAATAAATAAATAAATAACATAATTATTATGAT